CTTTTACTCAAGTATCACTTTGTGGTACTTTATACAACACTGATTTTAATTGATTCTAAAGCATAAAGTTCTGCTAACGTTAGTATCTGTAAATTTCACTGAGTTTTAATAAATTTTGAGTAGGCTAAGGTTGATTTTTTTAATCAGATTGAGTTGTAAATGTTCATCCAATGATTCTAAGTTTTATTTGTTAACGACACAAAGCAAAACGTTCTGACTGCACCTCTGGCAGCAGGCGATAAAAAGCACAACACCTCAGTCTCTGTTGTATCTCTGTTCAACCCAAACACTTTCATTTAATATCATTTTAGTTTTGTGATATTTAAACCCTAAAACTGTGAAAAACTAATAAATTTAATGAGAATAAAATATTTAATATTCTCTCTCTTCACTCTGCAGCTGAATCACATTTTTCTTTATTTTTGTTATATTTCTGTGAATATAACTGACTTAAAACACAAAAAAATCATGCATTTTATTTTTCACTTTGACCTTTAAACGATTTTAYTGGAATGAATCGGACTAGAAGAAAAAAGCGTGATTGGTGAGAAGCTGGCGTTATGAAACAGATGGCGACAAATCTGTCATTTTCTCAATGCAGCCGTGCAGAGCGGAGAGAAAAAGAAAGAATGTTTAATTTAAAAAGAAAAAAAAAGCATTAAGAAGAAGGTGAGCCAGACACCATTAGACCCAGCTGGGTTGTCATGGCAACCCYGTCTGGGAAGAACTAAAGACGAAGAAAAGCAAAGGGAGGCAGAGGAGAAAATGAGGACAAGTCCTTTTTTGTTCTCATCAACAAACTGCTGAAAGAGGCAAGCTGTTTCCTCCTCCTAAAAACCAGCTATCTCAGAAAAATCGCTTCGGTTGTTTTAGCCTGCAGACAGCTCCTCAGACTCTCCGGCTGCCTGAGCATCGTCTCTGAGGAGGATGAAGAGCAGCTTTGAAGTTATAGGTCCTCCTCTGTGGACAGCAGAGCCTKGTCGTCTCAGTGAGCTCCCAGTTACTGACGTGACACAACGCTGCAGTTAATGGGATTATAGGAGCCACTGTTTTATGTTGGGCAGTCGAACCATCCCAAAAACACATGAAATAATGTCCAAAATTAAAATAAAGAGTAGAAATACCTCCAGTTTTCTTGATGACCTGTTGTCATTAAAGGGATAAAAAACAGAAACACAAATGAGGCTTTTCAAGTCTGTCTCCTCAGTGTGGGCTTTTCTCTCTTTAATGGCTGCTACAGGAGGAGGACAATACACCTAACCCTAACCCTAACCCTAACCACGGAGAAAGTAAGAATTGTTTCCAGGACCCAGTCACTAAATCTCCAAACACAGGCCTTTTTAAAAAATGTTCACATGCCAAACTGGAATTTAAACRAATACACTGAAATACACCAACAACCAAAAACATCAGAGGAAGAATATTTACATCATTTGAGAACATCTAAGTTTTTCTAATTATACAATGTGAATTTTAAAGTTAAAACAAACAGAAGAGATGCTAAAATCAGCTAAATGTTTGTGGATGTAGGTAGTTTGCAAAAAAAGAAAAAGAAAATAAACAAAAACATTCCAGCCTGGCTAAAAATTGCCCCAAAACAACTGTAATTTGTTTGTTTGTTTYACACTTTGGGCATTTTTTTCTTAGTCATCGTCCTGTTGAACATGTGCAGCTAAGTTATTGTTTTCCAAACGCAGGTGAACAAAAACATGTAAAAATCTTTATTTAGGAAACAGTTTGTTTTAAATCCTAGTTAATAAATAAATAAATAAATA